ATTTTTATATTATAAATATTCATATATAAAATCAACTTCTCATAATCTTACTTGTCTTAAGGATTCGAGAGTTGTACCGGATGAGAAGGCTTCTCGTATTCTGAAGGATATCGACAACGCCTTAGCGCAAGTTATGTTAGGTAGCAGAATTTCCAGTATCTTTGCATCCGGCTTACTGGAGTTTTACTAATGTATTTAGTCTTTTTTGAATTTACAGAAGTGGAGAGAGCTCTTACCCAAACCGATACTGAATATGCAAAGGAGAAATTGAGGTGCGTTAAGTTTTTCACTGTTGTAAAGGCAAATGGATCCTCGTCAATAACAAAGGCCGCTTGCTTCTTCATTGATTCTGATGAGAAGGTTATTAAAAATCGATCGATTTAGGGCTGAAAAAGAAGGCAGGCCAGTGCCACTGAAACGCTTTGTGTGGTCCGACTCATTGCGGTTTGTTTTTAATAATAATTTTATAAGATTTTAGGATTTATTTGTGAATTTTTGGGCAATATTACAGTGAATTCATAAAATGACTCAAGCGGGTTCAATATTAACTTAATTGGTTTGTTAAAAAGATAATTTGATAAGGTCGTCAGTTACCTTATGGCTCGATGACTCATTTCGTTCGCACTGGCGCATACCGAGGCTGCATTTAAGCAGCGCTCTTGAGGTTCTCTCCCCAATTCAGTATGGAATGGATTTGATGAATAGGCCATTCTCTTATGTAGTTGTTATGAACAGTGCGCATATAAATGTCGAGAAATGGCTGCTTGCGAATAATATGAGTGGAGGGGACAGCATGTTAAATCATTGGTGCTTCTTGGACCACCATACAGGTGCTCTGCCGTTACTCCTGTGCACCCAAATATCATCCGGACTGTGCCAGGCCCATTTCTTTTGAATCTTTCACTTCTTAAGCGTCGATTCTGAACTGTATGTTGTTTTTTCTGTACGCGCCGATGCTGCGTATTTTTTCTTTTAGAAGGCCTTACACGCGGCCATTTTCATTTTCATGAGTTTTAGGGGGATACGAGTGCACTGTTTGATTTTGAAGCGAATATGATTCTTCCATCTATTGCACAAATGTAGAGTGTTTCTGATTAGTTGTGTGTGTGTTTTTTTTCTAGGGCAGCTTTGAAAAGTCAAATGATATTGCTTTTCTCAAGCCTTGAGCAACATGGCGAGCCGACACATCTCGTTAATCGTACAGTGATCCAGTATCTCTATCACAGCGTTCGGCCACTCTTCAAGGATGCTGTGAAGTTCAAGTAAACCTATGAATTTGTTTATATACATATATTTTTTCCCCACTGGAATGTATGGTTGTAGGAAGAGCCAGCATTGCTGCTACGAGCTTTTCGGTGCACTCAGTAACATGAGGCCTATTCCGACATACGAGCGACTGTGGTGAAAACAGTGGGCACGAATCGATGATTTTGTGCAGTGGTATTGGCAGGAGCAACCGTTTCGATATCTCCACTTATTTAATATTGTTATCGATGAATTTAAAACACAAGCGCTTAGTAGATGAGCATCCCAGGGGTATCGTTTCACCGCAAGAGAAAATGACGGGAGCGGGGCTGAGATGGGGGCGGG